ACACACACACACACACACACACACACACACACACACACACACACAAGAAAAGCGCTGTTGATGCAACTTCAAAGAACTCACCAAAAAGTTCAACGATGAAAACAAAGACCACAAGGAACTCAGGCTGAGGTCAACAGCACACTGATCCAAGAAACTGAGGACAGGAGACAGAATAAGAAGACAAACTAATGAGGGGTAAACAAGAAAGCCATTGAACACCTGGAARGAACAGGTGAGTGTGGGCGGGGCTGGAGCAGAGGCAGCCAGGTGGGCAGAGGGGTAAAACACAAGGAAAACATAAGAAGGATAACTTCAACCAAATATAGAAAATAGACAAATRGACACAGACCATGACAATTATAATGGTAAAATTGACAGAGACACAGTGTTTGTAAAAACACACATAATAAGCTGCACTGAAATAAATCTGTTGATAGAKGATAGATGTAAAAACAGGATTTTACAACACATAGAAGTTCGTTTTCTTTGTAATTTACAGTACAGAACAGCTTTGGCATATTCAATGAACAAACTGAAGTAAATATGGAGGCTGCATTTAGGGATTATTGGCTTAAAACAGATTATTTAGCTAGAATTAGTGGTTTCACCTTTACATTGAAGTTATGTTTGAGCACAGTATTTTCCTTACAGAATATTACAATGGTTCATTGCGTTTGATTTTGTGTGCATGTGTGTGTCTTACAGGCAGGTTTTGTGGAGACAAAATTCCTGACAACTTGATTTCAACCGATAGCAGAATGTGGATCGAGTTCCGCAGCAGCAGCAACTGGGTGGGAAAAGGCTTCGCTGCTGTTTATGAAGGTAACAATTCCCTTTTAAAATAAAACTAGACCAATGAGCTGAATCCAGAGCCGGGGAAAACTCAGTTTGGTGACACRAGCTTTGAACTGAGCAAACTTGTGACTTTTGTGTGACGTTTTTCAGGGATTTTCATTATTTATAGCTCCCTCAGAACGTGTTTTGTGTGTGTCTGTGGTCTCAGTTGATGCTGATTTGTCCTGTCTCTGTCTCCTTCACCTCCTTGGTTCAGCGATCTGTGGAGGGGAAATTACCAAGGACTCGGGACAGATTCAGTCTCCCAACTACCCGGACGACTACAGACCTACCAAAGAGTGTGTGTGGAGGATCACTGTGTCTGAGGGATACAATGTTGGACTCAGCTTCCAGGCCTTTGAGGTGACCCACTCACTCTGTGTGTGTGTGTGTGTGTGTGTGT